GAATGTCAAAAATGATTTAGTATTTGTGAATAAAATGAATTGATTTGTGTTAAACATCTTATTAAAGAGAACAAAAATCAGTCGTCTTAAATTTCATGATCGCACTAAATGGTTATCGTATTTACCATTTTAACTATAAGGCCATTTGCTCGACTTTACAGAAAGATGTCTCCTGTTTCAGTGATAAAAAATAAATTGAAACAAGGTGATAACCATATTAACCTTTTATTAATGTACATGTATGTATATTCATTACTTTACTTGTTCAGCACTTTAAAGGCACATTATGCCTCAGAATTTAATTTTACTTTTCCAGAAAGGACAAACATGGGTGTTATACTGTTTAATTAATTATTATAGAGCACTTTAGATGCTTGATAAATGAAGCTTAGTGCTAAATGTGAAATTAAACGTCACAAGAGTAGTAAAATGTAAATAAAGTAGTATTTTTACTTGTATTAAATTGCTTACTCTCTATAAATGTACTAATTGCCAAGACAGGAGCAGTTACATAGATGGTTTAGTTTTTTAGAAAAGGAGTAACTTTTTGAAAACTATTACAGTACAGCAAAGATAAAAAGCCTGTGGCATAATGGGCCCATTACCAATACATTTACAGACACCACTAAGACATAATCTATACCTTAAAATTTACCTCTTATCCCTTATCAATCATTTTGTATACTTGCAACTATTTCCGACATAAAAATATTTAAGATTTTTGCTTAAAGGCCCATGCAGCCCCCAATATGGTATCATTTGATTTGTCAAACGCTCTTTTCACTTTTCGTTCTTGCTACATTGTAAAAAACTTACTCATTGGCCACATATATGAACTTTACATGTATTTTGCGTCTTTTTTGCAATTGGTTTAATTGCAGTAATTTGGTATTTTGTTTTGAAATCAATACTGTTGCTACCTTTACGACATGTTGCTGCACGTTCAGTGATATTTTTGTGTTGTTTAACATCTAACATGCTATAGATCTACATGTATTATTAAAGCATTGTTAAACACATGTTTGATATCTGTGGCATAATTGCATTTTAATCTACAATTCATATTGTACCCTTAACCCCCAAACATGATTATGAATCGATTTTAAACAAAATACTTCGTGGTCCTTTTCTGTTGTTTTCCTTGGAGGGGGCGGAGGGGTGAGGGAGGGTTGAAGGAGGCGGAAAGGGGGCTGCCATTCATCTAAATAACGTACAAAACGTTTACTTAGAAATCTAGGTAATAAAACTCCTCTAAATATCTTCTTTGTTTAACATACTATTTCATGCATGTGTAATATCATATACCTGTAAAACAATTATTTCTCGAAAAAAAAATACCTCACCACCTCAAATTAGAAAAAAATGATAACAATAAAGCATTATTGAAATTAATCAACGTAGATGTACACAAAATGGAACATCATGCAACTGTAAATCTAATTGTAAAATTAACATAATAATAATCCGTAAAACCGATTTTATATCACTGGTAAACCGATGTTTTCGTGGCTTTCATAACATGAAGTAAAATACCACTTATTTCCAAATAAGTATTTAATTACAAGCATACAAAACCACCCCTATTATATTTCTCGGTGATATCTTGCCTACATCCTTTTGATTTATGCTATTCAACTCGCTCAAATAAGACGCTATTTCAGGCGCCATAAGATTCACTGATGCAGGCAAAGCACTCTGCACTTAAATACAGCTTGTGTATACAAGAAGACCATAACATTAATGAGCCGTGTCACGAGAAAACCAACATAGTGCGTTTGCGACCAGCATGGATCAAGACCAGCCTGCGCATCCGCGCAGTCTGATCAGGATCCATGCTCTTCGCTATCGGCTTCTCTACTTGTTATAGAGTTGGTAAGCGAACAGCATGGATCCTGATCAGACTGCGCGGATGCGCAGGCTGGTCTGGATCCATGCTGGTCGCAAACGCACTATGTTGGTTTTGTCGTGACACGGCTTATTTACTTACATCTAATATATTTACGTACGGTAAAACGACGATAGCACGTGCATAGATTGCAATAGCTTCAAACGATGAACAGGCGAGTATTTAGTCGTTTATAGACTTAAAATCCTCAAACGACGACAGCACGTGAATTAAGTCGTTCATATTTCGTAATAACCTCAATCGACGACAGCACGTGCATTAAGTCATTCAGATGTTATAATAATCTCAAACAACGATATCATGTGCATTAATTTGTTAATAGATTGTCATAACTTGAAACTACGAAAGCACGTGCAATTAGTTGTTCATAGATTGTAATAACCTCAAACGACGACTTCACTTACATTCACTTGTTCATAGACTGTGATAACTTAAATCTATTTTAGCCAATATGACAGTTTTGTTTCTTTGAACTCAAGGAAGAAAATAGGGCTGTTAAATGAAACGGCTCTACCTTTCCCTTAAGTCTACAATGACATACTCGAAACTTCACAAATTTTCGACTTCAACTTCATTTAATCATGATCTATTTCAACTTCAGGAATTCACGATTTCGGCTTCGTGAATTCACGATTTCAACTTCACGAACTCACGATTTCAACTTCATGTTTGTTAATCGTCTTCGTATCATAAAAACAACTAAATACCATGTCTGAGGTCATTTGTCACGGACTGAACCAGCGTCCCCTGTAGTACTCTAAAGTGTGCTAATGTGCGGAGACTAGGGATGAATAAAAATGTTTCAACATATGTTCTGTGTGTTCATCATCTTCCTTTGTTTATGAATCAAATCATGCCCTTTTGGATAAATATCTGTACTATGTTAATAATGATATTCTTTAATTTCATAGATATTTCAAGTACATAGGTTAACAATGAGCACATTTTATAAAAGTATTTCAAATCTACATAAAAACATAATAGAAATGTATTACTTGGATATCCTTATAAAGTATTTCTTGAAAGAAAAAGAAATGATATGAGTGAAATACATTGGAAATGCCAATGAGCTTAATATATACATATTGCATACATAATTGCAACAAATATACTAAATAGTGTGATGTAAAAAAACTAAAATGCAACACCCATTTCTATGTAATTGGATGTAAATAAACATGTAATTGATTACAAAGATTGGTCTCAAAAAAAGTTATCCGCTGAAAATATTAATTTGAAATTTTTATTTTGAAGGTTGAGTACATTTATGCAAGGGTGTCCCTGTATTGTTAAAAATGATTAAATCACAAAGCCCAAACAAAATGTATTTGAAAATTTGGTCAAAACCCTTGTAATTTATGATATGGATGAGGATATTATATCTATAAGATTACGTAACTTGTGTTTGGAAAGAGACCTTTTTTGCGAAAAAGATCAAATCACAAAACACCGGAAAGATCCACCAGGACTGATCTCAACAATAGTTGTGAATGTTTAAAATGCATCTATTGAGAATTAAGGAATTATACACAGAAGAAATAATCGATACAAACTAACTAGCCCATTCACATTAACAAATCTTACAACAGTACATTTTTTCTTGTTTAAATATGAAAAAGATTCTTTACATATTAGACAAAACTTATAATTACAATACAAAAGCAAGGTAATGTATACAGCTTAAGAATTACGGACCCTAATGAATATTTTATTCATGACGACATCTTTTATCTAAATATTAACAAATAAAATTGACGTCATGGTAAAAAGAACACTCTTACATGACAAAAATTATACTAAAATAGGTATGCCGAAAGTAAACGAGCATGGTTTTCGTGTTATCACGATACTTTCGCCATTAGCCGATACTAAACGATTCATTCGGGTCCGAAATACTTAAAATAATATTTCAACTAACATACCTGAAACAGAAACAAATTTGAAATGTTATGTAATATGATACAGATTATGACATGGTTATGTGATATAATATGGTTTTACTAGAATCAAAACCTTAAAAAGATATAACAAAAGCAAACAAACAAAAACTGTGAAAACGGTATTAAGTATTAAACATATTATACATGTACATATTCAATGCTGCAACAGCATATGATGTGTTTTCATCGCTTGGTAAATCATTTTTGAAAAATAAATATAAAAATTCCAATTATAAGTCAGTTGAAGTCTAGGTCAGTATATTTTTTCGCTGATTTAATGGTTTGCATTATATGTTTTCTTTTTTTTTTCTTACATGCATATATAACATATAAAAGCAATGACATGCATTTTACATGCTGAAAAAATCTGTTGTCTTCTCTGTTTCTGAATTATATATATATTTCTATCTAAATTATAAAAGAAAGTAAGTGAATATTTAAAAGTTTGGTGCAAGAAAAAGGTTGATACGTCAATATTTTTGAATGCGTCAGTATTTTTGAGGACAGAGGTTATCATACTCTTACATTGTTGAGTCTAATAATTTATTTTATTTCATACCTTAAAAATTGTAACCACGTGATGTTCCAATAATTATCTTATTTGGAATCCTATCTTATTTGGAAATACAGACTCGTTTTCATTTCCCCAAGTCCAAATATCCATTTCAAATGCGTTTTGTATCTAGTCTCATTTGCATTGACCTAGTCCAAACATCCATATCTTATTTGTTAACAAAGTAATTGTATCTTTAATATAATACAAAAAAAAATCATAGTTGATTGTGTGGGTTTTCTTAAATTTGCTGTTTTTGTTTCTTTTTTCTTGTTGATGTGATTTTAAGCGTTCATTATAAATTGACGAGTTCCCTTCACATTCTATGCGTCTCGTTCACAGTTGCAGAATCTAATTAAATTGGACTCGGCTAGCGCATCACCCAATAAAGGTTTAACGATTACTCAACAATGTATTATAACCTTATACTATTGCATCGTCTTCTTTATCCCACTTGTTAAGATATAATCGATGCTCGCTCATTGTACATTTTAATCAAAATCTTACAATTTTTATATAAAAAGGTGGAGTAGATTTACAAAAAAAAATAACATACTGTTTTTCATTTTTAAACACCATTTTACATTATACAGATGTATAACTAAACCTGCACCTTTTCCAGCACAAGCGAACATACACTTTCCCATGTGTCTTTTAGTACAAGCTCTCCATTTTTAAATTCCCAAAGAATGCTGGCGCCATTCTTGTACAAACTCTTCAAAGTTGGCATCATTAACTGCTCGTCTACATTTCCTAATCGCATGAAAACGATGGGTTTTTGCTGTAAAAATGCCTGATCAAACTCGTTTTTACAGTAAAGATTCCGACAAAATGTATCTGACACAAGAACTATGACCACGGAAACTCTGTTCAGGCATAGTACTGTTTCATCAGGAACATTGAATCCAAGGCGAACATCTTGGTCTCCGGTACACAAAAGTCTTCGATCTGTCTCAATGATCAATTGAAGGTTCTCGTTCAGTTGGTCTATCACGTGATCATGTACAAATTGATAATCATCACTGCTGTATGACAGAAAAGCAACAAACTCATACTGTCCCTCACCTTCTTTCAATCTGGCTAAAACATTTTCCATCTTCCTCTTTCGCTTCAGCCTTCTCATTGTTCGGTGAAGTATTATTCCAATTATACACAGCGTCATAAAAGTAACTATTATGCAAACAGTGGATGTAATGATGACAAGTTTTCTGTTACATATATTCTGAATTCTTTTTACAACCGATTTTTCGATTTTTCTAAATGTGCCATCATCGGATATGCAAACCAACGCCTGTTGTTCCAAATTGAACTCCATTGATATAAGGAGCCATTGGATAGACGACTTGCAGTCACATGTTGAACAAAGCAATGGATTTGATTTCATTACGACTATACAATGATCGTCCACATATATGTTCGAACTTTCACATGGAACTGCATTAAGGTTGTTAATGGATATCTCGTCGAGAACTTTTATGTTATTGTTACTAACATCTAAAACACGTAGATAATGCAAGTCCACAAAATCAAAGTGTAACTGTTCAAGTTGGTTAAAAGAAAGATCAATTTTAACAAGTTCTTTGTTATGCTTGAACATATGTTTAGGAATTTCTCCAAGACGATTGTTTGCTAAGTTGATAACATGTAGTTTACTATAAGAAGCAAGCAACTTTCCAAAACGGTCCGACCTTTTCCCTAGCATTTCAAACAATTTGTTATTAGATAGAATGTATGTTTCTAGATTAGGAATGCACTCACAAGGATACACCATTTCCAAACCATTGTGTGATAAATCAATATGTAAGACAGACCTTAATTTGTACACTGGACATACAAAATCAACATCTAAGTATCTTAAATTGTTATTTCTTAAAATCAGCTCTTTTACCTTCCAGTTTTGCGGTTCATCAATGGTTATTGTAATGTTATAACCCCAAAATGATGTTGCAGAAGGGATTATCCCGCTCAGATTCGAAATCAAAGGGTTAGTAAAGATTTTGTTCAGTTCAATATTTTTAATTTGGGAAATATTAATTGCTATGTTGGCAAAAACATATTTCCCTGGAAAATTAGGAATTGCTCTTGCTGGTAGGATACAATTAGCCAGGTCAAAAACCATCAAATTTAGCAAACCTTGTTCAACGATATTTTCTGTCCATACATTGTCTATAACTGTATATGACATATTTAAACTTTCTAGAGTGTGGAGTGTTTTATGAATCGCGGTCATATTGACGAAGTTCATCTGGGTACCGCTTAAATCAATTTTTGTAATATTTCTCGGTACAATATAATCCACATCTTTTTGATTAATGGTATTAGCGTTGCTCCAATAAGTGCCAATATCAGACATGATAAGAGTCTGTAATGCCGGCAAAGCACTTTTCACTTCCAGAGCTTTTAGCAAAGTTTGTATCAATAGACGATGAGATTTGCTTACATCTAATGTATGGACTGCTTGTAAACCGACGAAAGCGTATGCATCAAGATCAAAACAACCGACGTGGATTTTCATTTCTTTTAATGATATTAATCCTTTAAAGCATTCTCGTGAGAAGGTACACCAAGAAGTATCGCCCTGTTCTGTTGTGCCATTGAACTCGATTGTTTGAACTTTAGCCCAGCTTTCATGAATAAAACTGGAACTATTTATTGTGAATTCTCTTCCTTTTCTGTCCAAGTCTACAATACGGACATGTTTGTACAGTCTGGGCAATGTCGTTGGAATATAGTTACATATCACACTTGTACTCTTTACTTCGTTACAATGTTCGACAATCCTATCCGTACTCCCAAGTTTCACAAAGACAGTGAAGATAACAAGTATTTCAACACAACGTCTTTTTATTTTTTCCATCATTTTCTTTCTATATCTCAGTATGACAAATATAACATATGTTGAAGTTAACGATATTTGGAAGATACAGATGAATAACTTTGATATCATATACTTCCTCAAGTGATCCTCTGTTAATGTAATCGACCATTCGTATGTGAATAAACTGCACGTGATAAAAGAAAGCAAGATATTTTTTTAAGAATCGAGTTACATTATTTTAGACTTTATTACACAAGCCTACTTCCTGAAACAAGTTCGCATTAACAATGCAATTTTAAAACTGGCCATAATAAGTTTTTAATTAAGAGCCGCATCACGAATAAAACCAACATTTGCGACCAGCATGCGCATTCGCTATCAGTTTCTCTACTTGTAATAGAGTTGGTAAGCGAACAGCATGGATCCTGATCCGACTGCGCGGATGCGCAGGCTGGTCTGGATCCATGCTGGTCGCAAACTCACTATGTTGGTTTTGTCGTGACACGGCTCATTTATATGTTAATAACTTAAAATTACGAGCAATCCAGGGCATATCATGAAAAGTATTAAAGAAAATTGATTTAAAATCGACACAGTTATAGAAACTAGTAAGAGGCACAATCGTAAAACAACGGCTCTTCCCGTATACTTCGGATACGAGGCATCGAACGTAGAACACGAAAACAAACCGACGCACTTTGCCCGGGTTATAAGAGAGAAAAGAGCAAATGCCATATCCCTTGGTATTTAGAATTTGTATTTTATGATACCTTCTTTTATTACGTGTTTTCGTTTGACTAGAGTTACAATTAGAGACAAAAACAATAAAAAATACTAAATTTTAAACTTTCATATCTGACATAACAGAAACAATCAAAATTGCGAGATCATTTCACTGAAGTAGTTCCAATTTGACGCCTTATTAAGTAAGAGGTCTATAGTAAAAAATACTCAGCTTCAATTTTATTAAATGATGAAAATAAAGTAATTTAGATGTACACAAAATGGGACTTCTTGAAACGATAAATTATAGTATGAAAACTCATATAAAACAAGTGCGTAAAAAGGATTATTTATTTCGCTTATAAAATCTCCTGGTTTGCATAAAATGTGGTAAAAACCCCAAATAAGTATTTAATTACAAGCATACAATACTACCTTGTTATATTTTTTGGTGATTTCGGTAATTTCTAGCCAACATCTATTTGATATATACTATAAAAATCGCCTAAATAAGAACCTAATTCAAGCATCATAAGATTCACTAATTCAGGCAAAGCACTCTTCACTTTAATACAAGACGACGATAGCATTAACTTACAACTTATGTATTATCAGACGGTAAAACGACGATAATACGTGCAGTAAGTCGTTTATAGATTGTAATTACCTCAAACGTCGTCAGCACGTGCATAAAGGCGTTCATAGATTGTTATGATTTAAAACGACGGCAGCACGTGCAGTAAGCCGTTCAAAGATTGTAATTACCTCAAACGACGAGTTCACGTGCATTACGTCGTTCAAAGATTTTAAAAACTTCAAACGACGATAGCATGTGCAATAATTCATTCATATATTGTAATAACTTCAAACGACGATGAAATGAGTACAAATATGACCAATATTAATTTTCTGTACCAGAACTTTTAATTATCTGCTAGATTTATAATTATAATATCTGGTCATGTATCTTACACTTTCAAACAAGTATGATTGTTTCGTGGTTTGTTGATGTGTTTAGTAAATCGAATAATCAAATTATGTAATAATTCATTGTATTACAGACCTTCAATTATAGACCAATTCACTTTAATGAGTTGAACTTTTATCCTGAAATGAACGATGATTTGATTTACGTTTTACTGGCGTTAAGATGGTTTTTGCAACTGTAGCAGAACAGATACAACTTGTAGTCTTTCTTGTTCTTTAATTCCTGTTTTGTCATTTTGTCATAATTTATACGTTGTTTCTCTGGTTTTAAAACATTAGAACTAAAACTAACCTTTCAAACACATGGTTTATTCATCAGGTATATTCTTTAAAACATTAGAACTAAAACTAACCTTTCAAACACATGGTTTATTCATCAGGTATATTCTTTAAAACATTAGAACTAAAACTTACCTTTCAAACACATGGTTTATTCATCAGGTATATTCTTTAAAACATTAGAACTAAAACTTACCTTTCAAACACATGGTTTATTCATCAGGTATATTCTTTAAAACATTAGAACTAAAACTAACCTTTCAAACACATGGTTTATTCGTCAGGTATATTCTTTAAAACATTAGAACTAAAACTTACCTTTCAAACACATGGTTTATTCATCAGGTATATTCCCTCGCATGGTTTGTGATACGATCAACCAGTTCGATCCAAATAATCAAAAAATTAAAGTGAATTGGTCTATAATGGAAATTTTGTAATGACATAAATATTTATTCTTGGAGTATTTAATATTGTATGTGACAACAAACCACGAAAGATAGAGTACTGAAACGAAATTCCCTTAACCACGTGGTCTATTTATTATAAAAAAATAATTTAGAACTAGTTTTTAATATATGACATATCAGCTTACAAACATAAATCTATATTGTTGTCCTCTATATTTAATAATTATTTTTGTTTTGTGAAAGTATCACAGTGACCTATTTCTTTTATATGTTTTCATATTTGATTTGCACATTATACAAACTGAGTGTTATTGTAAATAAAATTGAGAACAAAATAATACGGATGTTGACAGTGAGTGTGAAATACACGATTCGTTTTTATATATCTTTATATTGCAGATAATAAAGTGTTCTAGTACAAAATATCTCATTATTCATCATTAAACTGTTAAAACGTATCACTTGAATTTCTATCAACATTTTTTTCCAAGAAATATTTTATAACAATATCCAAATGATACATTTCTGTTTTTATCAACATTTAAAATACTTATAGGAAATTTTGCCCCTGTAGACCAATCCACTTTAAACGAGGAAGAAAATAAATTACTTCAGATTTATTGTACAATTCATCTTCCTTGTTCGACATCGACTGATACGTTTAGAGTGTAACATGAGCTTGCAAAAAAATGACCGAGATATAGCCTACAAAACACAAAAGTAAAAATCGGTGGTCACGCTGGAAAAATAAAAAAAGAGATAAAAGATAAAAGATTTATTTGCATAATATACTTTTATCACTTAGATAAATGTATGGATGAAAGTTTGCTTGGATCAAATCCGTTCAACATATGTAACTTCCCCAATTTAGTTAATTTTGACATAGTTCTTGTGTCCGTAGCCAAACTTGTAAAAACAGATAGTATTTTTGTTTACGGATACACATTTGTAAATAAGCCAAGAAAACAACAAACAATCAAACAACAAACAAACACCGATAAATCGGGACAATGACATTTATTTAAAAGAGTAATATACCTTTTATAGAAACAATTTAATAAAAACGGATTACATTTTTTGCTAAAACTTAGCAACAAGTTCTCTGGTCTTCATTATGATATTATTTAATCGGCACAGTTTATATACCGCCTATGCAATCTAGATATTATTACAGTAATAACGAGTTTGAATTGTTTGAAAATGAAGTACTGAAATTTGTAATAAGTATGATATTGTATATTTGTTCGGGGATTTTAATGCTCAAACTGCTGAAATGTAAGACTATACTACTGGCTTTACTTTTTATCGCAACATTTTGATTTTGATACTGTCAAAAAGCAGTCATGCAACTAAGAGGTAAAAGTGACACCCGGAAGTGTAGGGACAAGAAAACCACGGTTATAAACTGATAGATATATGTAAAAACAATAATTTAGTAATTATAAATGGAAGGTTAGGAACAGATAAAAACATTGACAATATGACTTTTAGAAATGTTACAGTCATTGCTTATTTAATTTCATCATTAGATGGATACCCACTCTTAAATGACTTCCAAATAACTTACCTTGATAATTTATACTCGGATGGTCACGCGTTGATTCATTTTCAAATTAGAGCTAACAGCGTAATGTCAAGCAATTGCATTAATAACAAGAGGGCCATGATGGCCCTGAAATTGCTCATCTGAATATAGAAACTTTCCATGACAAGGAACAAGTACAATTGTATACTATAAACAAAAGAAGATATAAAATTTAAATCTTAAACTGATATCACACAGTTAATATTTGTATCTGAAATAGTGCATGTGTAAAAACATCACTGGTTGCTATTGCTAAGGGAAATCAACAGTTCCAAAATATGTGTACAAATATGTAAAATCAATGACCCATGTGGGTCCAAATGTTACCCCAGGGCTTTTTTAAAAACAAACTTGGTAGAAACTCACTAGAAGATGTTCCAAGCTAAATTTCTAAGCTCTGGCCTCCTTTGGGTTTTTAAAATAAGGTTTTATAAGTTTTTACTATATACATATAATGAAAATCAATGACCCTCGGGCGGTTTTTTTAAATAGAAGATCTTTTTAAGTTTTTTTCTTTCGGTTGCCATGGCAACCAGAGTTTTGCATGGATTTTAATTATTTGAACATTTTTAAAGGTGACCACCAAAGGAACATTCCTTTTAAGTTTTGATGAAATTGATTAAGTGGTTTATCAAAAGATGTCGTTTAAAGTAAAAGTTAACGGACATACGGACGACGGACGGGCGGACGCTGGACGAATTGTGATAACAAAAGCTTACCATGTCACTTTGTGACAGGATAGCTAAATATAGCGTCCCGGTTTGCCACGGTTTAGTCCACGGGGATTAACAGTGGTAAACTGGCGTAGGGCCGTAGCGATTCCGTGAAGTACCGGGTCAAACCTTGGTGAAACAAGACAAACCGGGAGATCACCAAGGTTGTATTAAAATGTTTAATACAACCGTGGCTCACCGGCACCTACCGGGAAGGAAGCCCAGAAACGTGTTCTATCGGCTAAGTACCGGGAAACGACTGGGAACTACGTATCTATACCCCATCCATACCGTGACAACCCGTAGTAAACCGGAATGCGTATTAATCAATGTCAAAACATGGCAGAGCCCCGGTGATGACACAATGTAAAAACAGGCAGAGCTATGGTAGAGTCAGGGTACATTGCGGTTACTGGCGACAACGCTCCGGTTGGACCCCGTAATGTCCCGGATATTTCGACAAGTTCCGGTGTTTCAACAGTGATAGACAGTGACGTCACGACCTTGTGTCAATAGCAGGCAATTTAAAGAACAGGTATATATACACTTGAAGTGCTTCTTTGGATAATTTTGTTAAGTGAAGACGAAGAAGGCCATTCTCTGCTATTTCCTTTCCTTCCCTGAGTCGTTTCCAAAGGTACCTCAACCTAGCTGTATGCGTCGAAAACAATGTTTTCCCAACTTTGTTTCCCTTTCCTTTGGGTGGCACCTCTGTTGTCTTTTTACCAAATGATTGATGTCAATGTGGTCTAGCAGTTTTATTCTCATAAACTTGAACCGGGAAGCATTGGCGCATTACTGGGGTGACACCGAGACAGTACCGGCATCACCCGTAGCTAAACCGTGACAAAATCGGCGATGGTCGGAATGGACCGTGATGAAACCGTGATTAGTCGGGTCTCATTCGGGGATACACCGGGTTAGCATCGGCACTTACCGTATATATCCGGTGCTATATATCGGGCACTTAACTTAGAAAACACCTGGGCTCTGTTGGGGATGTGTAAACGGAATTTGAATTTTTAGAAAAAAAAACACCACGGAACACCCCGGTTCACCGGTTTAAGACAACATAGCGATACCGTTGCCATTACCGGGACAGTGTAAATGGGGCTAATAATAATGTTGAGCATGACACAGATGGTTTTGAAAATATCCGTAATATCGATATAGCGGGTACTAACAATACTTTAAATTGCCGAATTACAAGGGATGAAATAGAAAAAATGTATTAATGCACTTAGAAGCAATAAATCGTCTGGTTAAGACAATGTGCTTAACGAATATATAAAATACTCTGAATCACATGATGAAGTGTTGTTATATAATATGTAGATGCAAATGTATGAAAGAAAACGACTACGACTACGATGCTGTGGCGATGCTGCTGCGACGTTTGCGATCTAACTGCGCTCAGGGGTTTATGTGACATGGGTTTATAACAAAGCACCGTGAGGTCGCAATAAAAATATGATATTTTTGATGACATGGATGCTTCACGGCGTCTTCGTGGCATCCTCAAGGCGATCATGGCAATGCAACGGAGTTTCCACGGCGTTTTAATTGGCGATTATCTGCGTTCGGACTGCGCTTCTACTGCGTCCTTTACTATTCCGCTACGCTTTTAAGGCGCTCACATTGCACTCCATATAAAAGTCGTGCATAGGCAGTATAAACGCGGTAGAGACGCCGCACAATCTCCGTACAAGCATGATGGATAACCGCCACGTTCACCCGGCGATCCGTCTGCCCTTTCACGGCGCTTCTGTTGCGTTGTAGGAGATGCTACTGAGTTGCTACGGTGTCCTTACTGCGATTTCACTGCGCTCTAACCAGAACGCCGAATGAAGGCATTTTTTAAGCATTTTCAAAATGCACGCCGTTGGTCGGTGTTCTATGCGATGCCACTACAATGCTGTGGCGATGCTTCTTCGACGTTTGCGATCTTACTGCGCTCAGCGGTTTATGTGAAAAGGATTTATAACAAAGCGCCGTTAGATCGCAATAAAAAATGTGACATTTTTATGACAAGGAGACTTCACGGCGTATTCATGACATCCTTACGACGATCATGGCGATGCAACGGAGTTTCCACGGCGTTTTAATTTGCAATTGTCTGCGTTCGGACTGCGCTTCTACTGCGTCCTTTACTATGCCGCTACGCTTTTAAGGCGCTCACATTGCACTCCATATAAAAGTCGTGCATAGGCAGTATAAACGCAGTAGAAACGCCGCACAATCTCCGTACAAGCACGGTGGATAACCGCCACATTCACCCGGCGATCCGTCTGCGCTTTCACGGCGCTCCTTTTGCGTTGTAGGAGATGCTACTGAGTTGCTACGGCGTCCTTATTGCGACCCCACTGCGCTCTAACCAGAACGCCGAGTGAAGGCGTTTATTTTCAGCATTTTCAAAATGCGCGCCGTTGGTCAGTGTTCTATGCGATGCCACTACAATGCTGTGGCGATGCTTCTTCGACGTTTGCGATCTTACTGCGCTCAGGGGTTTATGTGACAAGGATTTATAACAAAGGCGATGCAACGGAGTTTCAACGGCGTTTTAATTGGCAATTCATTATTGTCTGCGTTCGGACTGCGCTTCTACGGCGTCCTTTACTCTTCAACTACGCTTTTAAGGCGCTCATATTGCACTCCATATACAAGTCGTGCATAGGCAGTATAAACGCGGTAGAGACGCCGCACAATCTCCGTACAAGTACGGTGGATAACCACCGCGTTCACCCAGCGTTCCTTTTGCTTTTTCATGGCGCTCCTGTTGCGTTGTAGGAGTAGTTACGACATCATTACTGCGATCCCACTGCGCTCTTATCAGAACGCCGAGTGACGGCGTTTCTTTTTATCATACTCAAAATGCGCGCCGTTGGTCGATGTTATTTGCGATGCCACTACGATGCTGTGGCGGGCGATGCTGCTGCGATGTTTGCGATCTAACTGCGCTCATATTGGCGTTCTGAATTTTCTTTGGACGCCGTAAGAACGCCGTCCTAGTGTTGTAATTTAATTTTTTGAAAGTTTTCAAATTATTACTTTGAGAGTTTTACCCGGACATAAATGAAATAATACAGGAGTCCAACATATGCAAATTTGCATTCTATATATGAATGTTCAAGTTTATAACCATAATATTTTTTCATTATACAACGGATTAAATCGTATATGACATTTTCAATCAGCAATGACGAAACAAATATGTAAGAGAGAGTTATGATTTTCAAGTCTATAAAGTTTTTAAAGGAACATTATGCCTCAGAAACAGATATTTTTTTAACTTCTTAAGAATGATCAAATATGAATTATATAATGTTTAAATAGTGGTTTTAGAGAATGGTAGATGCATGCTACCTGAAGAAAGAGGCGATAAATGTGAAATATTGTGTAATTATAGTACATTGTAGCAAAATGCATAAACTGCATATGTAAGCAAAGTAATGTTTTGACTTCCATACAAAATACTTATTCACTATAGTTGAACTTATTGCCAAATAGCAATAAACTGGCCAATGAGTAATGTTTTTGATACATTTAATTTAAAGTACACCAAATTAATAAAAGCTTTTGAGGAATAAAATTAAAAGCATTTGTGAGGTATAATGGACCTTTAATGTTTTTGATTAAGTCTTCTGTAATGGGAGGTATCAACATGCATGTACTGGCGAAAATTCTCTTCCATCAATACACTTCTTCTTACTTACTTACCTTATCACGGGGTTGAACCCCATACGGATCTCAAAATTGAGCATTGGTAAAAAATATATATATGAATTTCCGCTGTTACAGATGTGAGAAAAGACAGGAGATTAGAATCACATTTCGATTTCCTTTAAAATGAAAAGCTTTGAATTTTATATAAATTTTTAAAATGTTGAAAACTTACCCTGTGATTGATTTATTATCACCTTCACATATGGAGTAAAACCTCGCATTAAGAGCAGCGGAAATTCACATATATTTTTTTTTACCGATGCTCATTTTTGAGATCCATATGTGGCCCCCGGTGTTTATTTGATAGCTGAATGATTGATAGATAATTGGCGAAGGAGACACTGTACGCCATGCAGTACTCCTGGTGGTGTACCGATAGATTAACAATTTAGATAGTATTCATCTGTATTGACACAGGGTGCTATTTGTAAACACGTTCGCAATTATAGAGTAGCGATTTAAACCGTATTGAATAGATAGAACGTGTATATTTTTTTATTCCCAAAGTAGATACAAGCTGTAGTTTAAATATTTAAACATTTATTGAAAATATTGATTCAATGGTAAACGAGGTTTACAAGTGAAAATAAGATATTCTGTTACAAACATTTTACTATTCATAAGATCAAATATTCAAATGCGAAGTGAAGTTATTCAGTTATTCAGATAGGAAGTTTAAACTTGAAATTATTAATTGTTAAATATAAAAGTTACTTAACATTTTTGCAACCGATATTTATATATACATGTTTTACAAATGAATGTGAAAAAATGGACTTTCAAATAATTTCATGATTTTAACATGATGAGGACATTTACACATGGGTACCTGTGCAAGTATTGCAGGTAAGCAAATAAATTGAGTGCAATTTTAATATATAACATCAACTCATCTTTTTGGCGGGGGGTGCATGCACATTTGTTTAATTGGTTAAACCTACATTACTGAATTAATCAACATTGAGTTTAGGACTGTTGGCTTCTAGTTTCAGTGACTTTAATTTCAAAGATCAGATTGAACGTAAAACTGCACGAATACGCAGACGAAAACCCAACGGATACAGATGGGTGCGAGGGAAAAACTAAACTATATGAGGACGAATACACGTTATGCTGGCATGAATGAGATGATTATGACTGGAAACGCCAGCTGACAGTTATAATTATGTCAGAAAGGCTATATTCTGTCGTATATCCCGACTGAAATGCATGCTTAGGATGACGTCATTTCGCCGTTATATAATGAACTTGTAAATTCATACATGTCATACGTAACTAAAAGAAAAATGTGGACACTTGTTTTTGCTTTATAATTAACGTTCTTATTTTTGATATGTTATAAATAGAAAATTACATCCTAGAAGCTTCATTACTAAATTTATTAAACTCGTTGACAAAAAATTAAGGCCACCAAACTGTCGTATGATTCTGTTCAACTTGTTTAATAAATTCAGTATTGAACCTACACTTCGATCCCCGGGAGATGCTTTCTTTGGTAGTTTAGCACGGAGGAAGGTAGTCTAGTACTAGTGTAACTCTCTAGGAACGATGGTTAGGAAACTACCCGCCTATATGACTGAAATACTGTTGGGAAAATGTGTAAAATGAAACAAACAAACAAACAGAAACACTTATTCAATATCCTCTATATACAGCTATCTATCCAGTCGATGTTTTCTGATGCTATCCTTTGCAATAATTTTCCAATTCCTACATCCTCTATGCTTAGCTCAATACATAAATAGTAACATACTGACAACCATCGATCTGTTAGAATAGGTTGTCAAACCAATTCACCTTGAGTCACCAAGGAATAATCGCAATGCTCTGACCTATACAAGACTGTGACTTTACATCTGAAATGGATGCACCTATAGATACCCAATCTATCAGTTTACAAGAACTCACATAAAATACTTCTGAGAAGTTGATTTCACTGCTGATGGAAGTGTGGTTGACAAACCAATATTTGTAACCGCTGAAATTGCATAATGGATTTACCCTGCTTTGAATTTGGCACAGTTATCTTTCAAGTTTAAGTGAATTTCACTTACAAATTACACAAAAAGAGCAGCCAAGATTATAGAGTCTGGTCAACTAGTGAACAAGTTTAATCAGTCGCTTTCAGGTCCAGGAGGTTAAGGGTCAATTAACGTTTGCCAGAGTAGATTTTAGTGAATCAAAAACCTTAGAGAAATCAATGAATGCACTAAATGATTGATTTCTTTTTCGGACAAAGTCTGTCTGAGATCGATTTGACTTCCTGTAAAATTTACAGAGAAGAACTGAATATTAGAAGGTTTTTTATTGGTCATTTTAAAATTGCAAACTGAAATCCAGGAATTTCATTGGCCAATCTAATATTGGTACAGTAATCTTAAGGATCTTTCCGATACGTATACACGTCCGGAGTATCGGAAACATATTTTCTAGTTAAATTTCTCGGATATTTGAGATCTCTTCTTCCTAATAAATATTTATCCTGCTTTTGAATAATTTTTCATTAATTCTCTAGAGAATATCTTATTCAACATACGAAGTTTTCGAGTTATAAATTTCATTACAAAATGACAAGACGACCAATAATGTCCACGATCCGTGGAAAACAATGTTGTGTATACCGAAAGACACCATGCAAGTAAATGCAATTTTACCTCTCCAGAGTATCTTTTTAAAGATATCTGTTGTTTAACAAATCAACGCCTATGTTGACTCATCAACTTTTATGTTGTTCATCGTTCGGATGGCATGCCATGTTTCACACATAAAGCTGTCAGCGATATGGTTCATATTACAGCGAAACTTTAGATGTAGTTTCCAATTGTAAGTGCGTTTTGGTATTGACACTTACCTTTCCAATCTCCAACGCAGTGATCTCCCCTTACAGAATTAGATCAACTTTTTGACGATATGATTTTTTTCAATTTTGATTTTAAAAAGTAAACACAGTTTTGCCTATGTTTTAAGACCGTAACGTGTTAGATGTGAACTAAAATAAAGAAAAATATCGGAAACATAAATATTATGAAAATAAATTTTAATATCACATCGTTTTTGCCAAAACAATGGCTGCTTTCGAAAGTGAAATCATTCAAGTAATTAATAATTTCGATTCTACACTTAACAAAAATGAAATGTTTTTAAACATATCGACAGGCTTCACACTAGAGCTCAAGTTACAATGTCGCTGTTTCGTGTGTTTATTACATATAAAACAATTGTTCAACGATTTCTTTGGCGTATCCGCCATCTTGACATTATCATGTGATAATAATAATAATAATAATAATAATAATTACCACATTTTTATAGCGCCCTTCTCAAAAAATAAAATGTTCAAAGGCGCTTTACAATGGAATTATATACATTTACAATGACTTCAGAAACAAAAAAAAGTAATAAAAATAACTCACATATATGTATACATTTACAGAATATAAAATATGCCATGATTAATCTAAAAGTCTAAAAGTCTAAATAAGATGATCATCACGTGATTACTAGCTGTAGCTCTAACAAATAACCGTATGGTCAGGTATATATTTTGTACGTATGTATATAAAACACGGAAAATATGGTGATGTACTCCCATATGGATATCAAAATTGAGCATTTGCCGATCTATTTCATTTATTGTGATACCGTTAATATGATCATTTTTGAGTTAGAGAAATTTTAATTTAAAAAAAAAATCATCATTATAAAAAGAAAAGCAATATGTCTGTCTTCATTATGTACCTACGGAAGAGCATTAGTGCCAGGTGCATGTTTTTTATTAACTCGAAATTTCGAGTTACTAACTCGAAATTTCGAGTTACTAACTCGAAATTTCGACTTACTTATCTCGAAATTTCGAGTTACTAACGTAAGTCGAAATTTCGAGTTAGTATGTCGAAATTTCGAGTTACTAACTCGAAATTTCGACTTACTTATCTCGAAATTTCGAGTTACTAACTCGAAATTTCGACTTACTAACTCGAAATTTCGACTTAGTAACTCGAAATTTCGACTTACATTGCACGACTTTCATTGGTTGCCGGTGAAAGCAAGGATTGAATTCAAGATACTTTCTTTCGTGTGTAGCTGTTGCACATTGACAGAGCACCTTTAACATTTATTTAACAGAACAATTTTATAGGGTCAAATTGTCCACACATACTGAACATATCCTTCGCTTTTTTGTGGAGGGGGGATGTAAAATCAACACTTTCCACATTTCCGTGTTAACCGGGTTGTTTCTTTTTCTTAAGCACACATAAAACCATCATATGGAGAAACAACAAGTCCAAAACCCAACCCTATTGTAAACTGTGCAATATCATGTGTTTAAATAAGTTTTAAATGACGTGTATACGCCAGTTAGTCTGTCACGTTTCTTTATACAAATAATGTTTTTGTAACATTATTCATTATTACTAATACTTTGATTCATATTGCGTTTGATAAAGTTGATAAAAGTGATACTTGTTATAATATATATGTTGGGAATATAAAAGCATCCGATTTTACAAGAAATATAGTCAGTCCAACAATTTTGACAAAGGCCTCAGCACGCCCCTATTTTGGCCACGACGCCGCGACACTTTCCTCAGATGTACGGAATGCCGTTAGGGCCATTGCCTATGAATGTGTTGATCTGAAACGCGATAGTTTCGGGGCGATAGTACGATGGTGAAAACCAGCGAAATCACGAAAACTACGATGGTGAAAACGCGAAAAGCACGATGATGAAACGCGAAAGTACGATGATGAAAACGCGACAGTACGATACTACGATGATGAAAACGCGATAACTATCGTGTTTTCATCATCGTACTGTCGCGTTTTCACTATCGTAGTTTCGTGATTTTTTCGCGTTTCATCATCGTACCATCGCGTTTTCATCATCGTGCTTTCGCGTTTTCACCCATCGTAGTTTCGTAATTTCGCGTTTTCACCATCGTACTATCGACTATCCCGTTTTAGATTCAACCATTCATAGGCGATGGCCCTAACGGATTCGTACAGATGTCCCACACGTGAAGTATAGGATCGGTTTTTTTTACAGGGATGAGAAGAATATGATTAGTGAAAAGATATGTTCGAACAGATGGGATACAATACAACGTCTTAAGAACGCCTGAACGTACAAATTAAAGGAAGCCTTGAATTTTTTAGGTCGGGTGTGTACATGCCATTACTAAGTTTAAGTTAAATTTCAATAGTTTTTGCCCAGGCACCCGTTTCTCCATCTCCATCGTTCAACGGCTATCCCTACTATATCTTATACCATCTAACTAATAACTTTGGCCGGGTTAGTATGTCGAAATTTCGAGTAAGTATGTCGAAATTTCGAGTTAGTAACTCGAAATTTCGAGATAAGTAAGTCGAAATTTCGAGTAAGTAAGTCGAAATTTCGAGTTAGTAACTCGAAATTTCGAGATAAGTAAGTCGAAATTTCGAGTTAGTAAGTCGAAATTTCGAGTAAGTAAGTCGAAATTTCGACTAACTAACTTGAAATTTCGAGATAAGTAACTCGAAATTTCGAGTTAGTAAGTCGAAATTTCGAGTTAGTAACTCGAAATTTCGAGATAAGTAAGTCGAAATTTCGAGTTAGTAACTCGAAATTTCGAGTTAGTTACTCGAAATTTCGAGTTAATAAAAAACATACACCTGGCACTAATGCTCTTCCGTATGTACCTGTTTAATATTACAAAATATATTTTTCTAGGCCACAATTATATCAAGCTGTTGAGGTTTGGTGAATTCATTCAACTAATTTTTTTCTGAAACATGCCGAGTTCGCGCGGTTTGTTATTTGACAATTATCAACACTTGTTTTAACACGGAGATGGACGTAATATGTCGTATTTTTACGACCTGTATCGCATTTGAAAGTTACCATATATTGTTAGCGGATCAATAATATTGCATATTCTTTCCAAAAAGAATATGTTTTAATAGTATCAAGAAAGCATGCGATTTGATAAGTTTACATAATAGACTTTTCTTAGTTCAGTTCAGTACATCTATAGAAGGTACTTTACAAAAGACCGGTGGGAACATTTCAACTTCATGAATTCCCGATTTCATTTTCGTGAATTCACAATTTAAACTTCCTGATTTCACGTTTTCAACATCCGGAATCCACGATTTCAGCTTCGTGAATTAACGATTTCAATTTCACGAAGTCAACTTTTGAACTTCATGAATTCATGTTTTGAACTTCACGATTTCAACTTCACGAAGTTCAAAACGTGAATTGATAAAGTTCAAAACGTGAATTGATTAAGTTGAATTCGTAAAGTTGAATTTTTGAAGTTGAAATTATGAAATCGTGAAGATGGAATCTAAAATTCATTAAGTTGAAATCGAGATTTCGTGAATTCTGTATGTTGAAATTGTGAATTCGTGAAAATGAACCCGAGAAATGTCACCACCGGCCTTCCGTAGTACTTCTGACAAGGCAGTAGATTTGCATTATAGCTTGATCCATACACAACTTACACGTTACATGACGTCAAATGTGACGTCAAGAACAAAATGACGACAGGGATATTACTTCTCCGCCCAAACTAGTACAAAATATTTTATAATTTTTTTTATGTCTTCCTGCGTTGGGGTGATTTTTATGGAGGGAGGGGGGTTCGTTGTTGTACAGTTACGCACGGTTGTTGTTCAAATGTTTTATTAATGATCGCAACAACGCACTCAAAACTGATATCTATTTGCTAAATAATTACGGAGTCAGAAAAGCGGTATGTGATAGAATATTTGATACTTCTTTCCTTTTAAATATTTCTAAAATAACTTTATTGTTTCACACATTGCAGTGTCTGATGTCAACGCTCTAAAACCTAGATGGACACATGCTGTACAGTTTAGGGACGAGTTCTTCCGGGACAAAATATCGGCATTTTCCCTCGGTTTTAGACCAATCAATAACAACACAGTCGAGCTGATCGGTTCAGAAAAGAACAAAATAGATGGCGCTCGATGGAGCAGAAGTTTTTCCAGTGGACGACATGTCATTGAATTTATATACCCTGTTCACTTAAGAGCTAGCGGGGCACGTGTAGGTCTCGGGACAGTAAACACCGCTTTAGGCGGAAATGACGTCACAAAACTGGTTGGGGGACCCGGATCTTATGCTGTTGATCTTCTGACGAGGAAAGTGATACATGACAACAAAGTAGTTACGAGATTCCCTCAGCAAAAGGTGACGTTCCTCAGTTGTTAATGATATTCTTGCAAATACATCCAACTACAACCATCCTCTTAAGTTAGTTAAAAATAACATGCCTAGGCTTGACTATTTTATCAAATGTAAAACACACTGTTATATTATCCAGATTGGAAGTATTAAGTGCTACGTTTTTCCAGAACAAAATAATATACAGTAAAGGAAATTGATTTACATATCGATCAGGACTATTTTTTTCGTGAGCGTAGAATTAAGAAACCGTAAACAGTTTTACATTTTTATCTTATTTTATATTCTGTTTACAGGTTTTACCAGATTGGTTTTTCATGTACCTCGACATAGACGAAGGGACGATGCAATTTGGGTCTGACACCGAATTCTTTGGCACGGCATATTCCGGTGTTATTTCAACTGATGAGCCATTGTACCCAATAGTGACCGGATCTAAGAAAGGTGCCATTATAGGCATTGTATATAGAGGAAAAGGTAAAAACTTAATACTTGTAAAATATGAAGAAAAAAAATATATTATCCTGTATTTTGTCATCTTTAAAAAGGTATTATCATTTCAAAATATTCATTTCTGCAGATGAAGTGCATGCCTGATAGATTTAGCTTTATCAGTCACCTTCGGGTTTATCAGACAGACGCACTTGTTTGAAAATATGAAACTGATAAATTTTGAATCAAATAAACATTTAAACATTAAGTCTCTCTTACATTCGGACTATTTCTTACCCTTAGCATATTACTGCGCGGCGTGAACTTGAGAGGTTCATCACAGGTTTTTGTTTCATCTGAAGTTTAAAGTCAGAAATTCTTATCAAAATGAAAACAGAATACCAATTCAAGTATCTGATATAAAATTTATCAAGCTCGGCATGAAAAATTTAATGGAGCGACAGAGGTGTAAACTGTCGTGAATTTGAATTTATTTAAATTCGCCACCGTTTGCCCATATGGGCGAGTCTTCCAGAAGAGAATTAGTCATTTTAGCTTTTTCGAAGATAGTGCAAAATACAGAAAGATGCCCCAATTCCAGAAGCTTCTCCTGGTTCTCTAATGTGTCAAGTGTTAAAGCACTCTTACACGGGACTTCGATTTCAAAGTCTTATGCGAAAGACCGATTAGTTATTTTATGAGGCCAGCCCTGGAATCGAACCCACATTATCGAGATTATAAGTCTCGAGCCCTAACCGCCTCGTAGATATGAATTCGGTCGATCTCGGTCTTTAAATAAGATGAGTTGATGTTATTGAAATGTAAGAAGGACTTGTTTTGAACATGGTCGTAAGCTTACATATAAAATATGTAAGATCCGAAAAAAGGTCGATAAATGCCGAGTTTACATGAGTTTACACTGAAATCATCACTTTTGTTTTATGAATTGTATATAAATGTACATGTATACATAGTATTGATGTATAGATATCCTAGTATAATTATTAGTATAGTTATAGTACTCTGCTTATGTTTCAGGGAAAGAAATCGAAGGACCTCTCCGGAAGAAGCGATTGAAAAAAATATCAAACCTCGTGAACAAAATTCCGCTGAAATGATGATTTTATGTGTGCGTGTGGTCACGTGGTTCGGATGATTTACTATAATTATATCTCTTAAATTAAAGCGAATCTCGATTACAGTATGTTTAGAGACGATTCTAAAATAAACTATATCGAAATTAGATTTTTATATACCTATATACGTGTTAAAGAATTAAAACTTTCGAAAGGCTAGGACGCATTTAGTGAGGTAATGAAATAATGCAAGTTGATAAAGTAGATCGTTTGCATTTAGTGATATATATTAAGTGGCATGCATTTAGTGGCATTCATTAACATGAACTTACTTTTTCATAAACCATGCTAGTGGCTTGGGAAAGAAGATTCATTCGAACATTTTTGCCCAAGCGATATTTATTAATAATAAAGACACGGTATATTAAGATGTTGAAATTTTTGAAATTTCTTGTCATTGTTATTCTTGTTTGTAAGTAATACTTTACGTGATGTTAACACGAAACTAAACAGGTAGCTATTGATATATTTGCGACTCTCTAAAAGGAGGCTTGAAAATTGACAGCTCTTACAAAACATGTAATGGAATATGCGTGACGTATGACTGACAATTAAATGATATTTTTGAAACTGCCAAAGACGTATGTGTGGGTAAATATTAACTTAAATGTGTCAAATTTATATATCTCTGCTGCCTGCAGTTTATGATTTATTTTATTAATTTTTTTTTAATTTTGAAGAAAAAAATATCCATGCTTTTAGAAATGAATAAAAAAAATATGTTGTTATGTTTCCCTTTTAGCGATTGGCGCATGCACGAAATTTATGTCTGTAGTATATATTTATTGGGAGTCCATCCGCCAGTGAAGGCACAAAAATGCACCATTCGCTGTCGAGACATGTCACTTGTCATGCCCGGAAAGAGTATAAGCTAAAGGAAGGAATTTTTGGGCCGAAATGAATGAACGACATTATTGCTCATTCTTATATATTAGAATATAATTTTGTTCCGGGACAGTTTTTCTATAAATGTATAACGTTCATGTGTGTTAAATAAATGAAACAACTCTTTCCTTACCAAAATCGACAGTACATGTATATTTTGCCGTAGTTCTAAGAAATATACATGACTGAAATTAAGTTAAATAATGAAAATAACATTTAAATACTAAACGAATGAAGAAATATATCCAGATTTACCAGGAATCAAACTTAAAATCGTATTTTGGGTGGGATTCTTAGCCTGGGTTGAGTAAAAAGCTTTCAATGTCTTATTTTATTCTATCTTTTTCGGTCATTTTACATAATTGAAATATCTTTTTTGAAAACCAAAGTTAGAGAATGATTTTTGCACGCAAGACTCTTTACTCTAAACCAGCATCAAATTGTACATAATTTCGAAAGACCATTGCCAGTCTAGTCATATCAGAAAACCTCAGCTGAGTCCCTAAATAAATATTACTTAGTAAATATAATGCACTTTCAATCCGCATGATTTACCAAAAAAGTTTCAAAACATGCCATACATGTACGTCCTTTTATTCATCAGAAACGGGATAAAAGTATACTTGTATCTATACATATTTTAAAATCTATTAATGACAGCATGAACAATGGCAGAAACACCTTGTAAGTCGAATTTCTTTTATCCCAAAGTAAATGCCCGGTCCCCTGAAAATCGGGATACCGAGTCAACTGCACAATATTTATTTATCAATCTAATTTTATTTATTTATTTATTTATTTATTTATTTATTTATTTATTTATTCATTTATTTATTTATTTATTTATTTATTCATTCATTTATTTATTTATTTATTCATTCATTCGTGATAATATGTTTATCCCCTTTCTCAATGTTGATTGTTCGTCCGTCCGATTTGTTTTACTTTAAACTAGCAAATGATATACGAAAGTAAAACAAACACGTTCTTTTTCTCTCGTTGTTTTATTAACATTAATGAAAAATACAAGAGCAATATATCTTTTCTATTATTTGATAATTGAAAAGTAACTAGAATGATTTTTGCGTCGACTAAGTATAGCGGCAACATAAAGGGATCACTCCACCGTCATATGTCTGTCTCTCTGTCTGTCTGTCCGTCCGTCCGTCCGTCCGTCTGTAACAAAACTTAGCCTGGACTACCCCTCAGAAACTACAGATGTAATTTCATCGAAACTTTACAGAAATCAATGATTTTTATAAGAGTTATGGCCCTTTAATGACTTTTATTTTTAAAGATTGTCTGGACTTCTCCTCTTATACCACTAATGTAATTTTAATATATTTTTACAGGGTTGATTGGTAGCTCATCAAGACTGTGCATATTACACGTATTTTTGGATGAGTTATGGCCCTTTAATAAAAAATATTTCGGCCTATTAATGATTTTTGTGTTGCCAGCTACACAGTAGCTTTTCCGGACTACTCCTCAGAAACTACGGCTGAATTTCAGGAATGATCAGTGCCATATCGTCACCATTTTCAGGTTTAAAGTTTTTTGTAAGAGTTATGGCCCTAAAAGGGTTATTTCAGGTTGTATTTGTACATTTTTCCCTGTAATTCTGCAATTACTTGAGAACTTCACATTAATTATTTGAAACAGTAGCTGAGACAAAAAGACAAATCAAAACATTAACAAATCAAAGGGCTGCAACCTCTGTGGTATTTTCTGATCTTTGCAATCTAAATCATAGTGACTATCTGTATGTATTTTCCTGTATAAGTTTATTTTCATATACTATTATTAACAGTTTGAGATTGATACACATGGAATTTTGTATGACTAGAGTTGCATCAAAAAATCATTTTTCATTTTTTATGACAGCCACACTTTATCCTTGCATATCATGGCTACTTCCTTAAAAAAAGACACTTCAAAAAAAAAAAAGTTGCCTCGACTAGGATTTGAACCTTAAGCCTCTCACACCCTAAACGAGCGCGCTACCTCTGCACCACGGTGAAGTAATACATATGTAGCTTGAATAAAAACAAATACATTGTAATTTTAAATTGAGAATTTCCATTTGGTGTTTGTAATCCTTACTAATTTCGAGGTATTTTGTTCACGATAAACCTGTTGTTTAACACTGATGAAAATTTTTTAGCGAAAATCTTCTCGCCAAAACAATACGACATGTATATATTCCACTACTCGACAATCAGATTTATTTGTGTACTACGCTCTGGAGTATTCGGTAATCGACATAGCTAAAAATAGCATTTTCATTGATTAAGCTTTACGGAAATAGCCGAACATTTTTCATTGGGTAAAAAAGATATTCATCCACGAAATTTGTGATTGTAACCTCATATTTCTATTGACTACTCTAAACTTTTAATGCACTGTAATTCGTTAAATGCCTACATTAAAAATTATTCTTTATTTTAAATTGCTGGTTTTTAAGCAGTTTTGAGTGAGAACTATTTTGCGTTGTTAGGTCTGTTAGGAAATTTTGTGTTAGACCGTGGATGTTAGCTTTGTATTTACTGATCTTGCGATCAGAAAATACAAAAACCGTGATAACAATGATAATAATGATAATACAAATTTAGATGAATTAAAAAAATGGTAGTTAATGCATTGCATAGAACTTTGACCAACTTAAACTTCCTAACATCGCCTACCCTTCCCTCGACTTATAAAGCATTCTACACAAAAGGGTAGAATACTAAATAGAAGTAAATCAAATAATTGGTTAGTGATAGCCTCGTTCTGAGTGTTTTTGTTCATTTAATAAACAAGTTCTATTATTATACAATTCGATATTTATGTTACTGTAGCATATGCCTTTGAACTTTCATTTATTACATTTTATAAAGATGCAAAAGTTATACCAAATGTTGTATGTGACGGACGTAAATAACTCTCAAGCTAACAACACTGTACCATAGAAGTCACGTTATTTGCACGTAGTTTTGGTTTCATGTATGTATTTGTAATAAGATAGCTCTGGCGTCCATTTCTCGTAAAAAAAAATGGATGCATGAGGTATGGCAAAGATATTTGAGCCGCGTCACAACAAAACCAACATAATGGGTTTGCGACCAGCATGGATCCAGACCAGCCAGCGCATCCGCGCAGTCTGATCAGGATCCATGCTGTTCGCTTACAGACCCTACAACACGTAAAGAAACTGATAGCGCGCAGGCTGGTCTGGATCCATGCTGGTCGCAAACCCATTATGTTGGTTTTGTCGTGACGCGGCTAATTTATTTTGTGACATCTCGTATATCATGATATAATTACATAATTTTCCGAGAGAAATACCCTTTAGGTGTCAAAGGTCATTTGTCAAGGAATAATTACTACAAACCTTTGTTCGATGATGGAATAACTTTGTAATAAATTGTTAATTAACGGCCAAAACGTGCGAATTTATGACATAAATAAGGAATAAAATAAAATACTAAAATTGGAAATGAGCAAAAATATATGTAACGGAAACATGTTGTACAACGAAATTTCATAACCTCGAACATTGGACAGAATTTTACAAGTTATTGTATTTTACGGAAGTTGTATTCCACTTGGTAAGTAAAACTATTGTGGTTTTTATTTATTTATTTATTTATTTATTTATACATTTACGTATATTGTACACAATATATATATATATATATATATATATATATATATATATATATATATATATATATATATATATATATATATATATATATATATATATATATATATATATATAAATGTATATATGTAAAGAAAAGGAAGAAAAAAACTCATTTTTTGACGAAAAATATTACAAAATATCTTGGCTCAAATGTTTGAAATTAACTGATTTAATTAATTATAAGAGTAATCGAGATTCGTTCGCATGGGAACGACAACAAACAAAACATATACACATTTTAGGGGAAAAATTCGAAACAATTTCATTTATACCTATCTAAATTTATGGCTAGACATAAATTGTTATTACATATATAGAATATTATCACAGACAAGCTAACTTTCATCTGGACAATTTTTTTCTTTCAAATAATGATAATTATATGAGCCGCGTCATGACAAAACCAACATAATGGTTTTGCGACCAGCATGGATCCAGACCAGCCTGCGCATCCGCGCAGATTGATAAGGATCCATGCTGTTCGCTATCAGTTTCTCCACTTGTAATAGAGTTGGTAAGCGAACAGCATGGATCCTGATCAGACTGCGCGGATGCGCAGGCTGGTCTGGATCCATGCTGGTCGCAAACGCATTACGTTGGTTTTGTAGTCACGCGGCTCATATATTAATTCTCAGGATTGTTGGCCGAGTGGGTTCAAACCTCGCCAGTGGCAAGCTGTTTTTTCCATGAGAAAGAAACTTCACTCATTGTTTAGTACTTGTTGATTCCAGGAACGGTTTCGAGAGTGTTTCAATAAGCTTATAGCTTCCAACACAATGAAACTACAATTAATTCGTATAAACTAAACTAAAATTATAGGAGAGATAATAAAACGATTTATGATTAAATAATAGCAACAAATATAATTTTTAAAACATTAAAGCTGCTAACAAAATTGTTCAAGAAAATCAACTTTGAGAAAAAAATGTACCAATATTAAAAAAAAACAAATAAACATATTAGACAGGACTGATTTTGAGAATTTGGCTCCCTATAAGATGCTAGAGGCATTTTGTAGTACAAGTGGTATCTTGGTGTATTTTACCTATTTAATGTATGCTGAATCCGATGAAGGTGGATACCGAATTGAAAAACTTGATCTT